TGACCAAAATAGCACAAAATGACCATTTTATGAAGGCTCTACAAGCATAACCACTCAGTATTTTTAACTAATTCTTTGATAGGCTCATTCAGGTTGACCAGAGGTATGTTCTGGCTACCTCCCCAGTTAGTGCATATTTTTTTTTTCAGATGCCAAAAATGGCCTCCAGAATAAAAACCTTCTCAAGGCTCCAGCTTTCACTAAAATTAGTCCATACCAAGGGAAGTGTAACACAACTACATAATGTAAAAGAATACACAAATACATTTGAGGTACAATAGATTCTTAGAAAGAACCAGAAAAATGAACCAACCTTCATTCTTTTTGCACTCAACTGTAGGTGTTCTGATCCCCTCGATGGTTGGACGCTTGGGCCGTTGTGGAGAACTTTTCTTTTAGACAACGTCTCTCGATTTCCTCAAGGGGGGTCCAGGTTTTTAAAAAATCCTATAGGGTTGAATTTATTTTTAAGGCCTCGATGGCTGGACTAACTAACTAAGGGTGGGAATATATTTCCAAATATAGAAACATTACATCATCATATCTAGATCCAGCATTCCCTCAATCATCACCAGCAAGCTTGGGAGTCTGTCAATGCATGTGCACGACTCTGTCAACAACGCAGCAGCTTTCAGACACGAGATTTGACATGATGGAGTCTGAGAGGGGGTGGGCAATATTGATGTGGGTGCTAGTCCCACCTGCCAGCCCAAGGCCAAGAATATAGTTTCTGGCCTTGCCAAGGTCTGAGGCCTGACAAGTAATTTTTCAGCAGAGGCAGATGGCCCAGCGCTGCACTGTGGCTCCTCACAGCATGAAAAACTGACCTGCTTTGGCCTGGGTTTTTGTGAGAGCTTCTCTTGCCACTTCTTTTGCTTATTCTCCTTGCATGCTCGACTGGGTTTGTGTCTTTTGAAGTAGTTTGTAAGTCCTACTGAACCTCTCACAATGAGGACATTCCACAGTTCCATCTTGTCTGATGTCGGCTTCAGTCTAGGTAATGTTTTATTAGTTGTGTCATATCTTTCAGCATGCAACCTTATATTTCTATGCAATGTACTGGTTCTTGGATTGCTGGAGGCAAAAGCTTGACATTTTGGACTGTTGTAGGTGTTTCCAGGCCATTCAGACTGAAAAATATAGGGGCAAGGGGGTGCCGGCCCGGGAATCCCGTACCAGGACCTGGTTAGTTAGTCCAGCCACAGGCTGTGAAAAAAAAAAAAGGATGCCTTGGGCAGAAGGCCTTCAATCATCAAGTTGAGTACCTTGCAGCATAATATGGTAACTACAGAATGTACTGGGAGGAATACAGCTCCAATAGAGGCCATCAAGCACCGTGATATAAGATATTCATTAATTCCTGCCATATTTGGGCATTTTTTTGACATTACTTGAATTACCGTTGACCAACAATATCCTAAAATCTACAGTATGTCTAACATTGGTTTCACACATTCTATGTATCACACCATTGAGACGGAGCCACCTGCCCTTGATGCGGAGGGCTTCGCAATCTGTGGTAGCTGTGTATCCTCATCAAATCCTCATATGTAAACAAGGTGTGCGAGACACACTGGGTAAGTACATTGTATTATGAGAACTGAGTGATTTTCCAACTCACGTTATTTGCCTAGTTCCATCTAAAATGTGTGGAACATGTGCAAGCACCCCGGAATTTTGCCTGCATGACTTGTGCAAGACACAGGGGAAGCACTCACAAATGATGTCATATTACTAAATATAGACATGTTCCTGATTACGTTAGTTAGTTAGTCCATCTCAAGTCGCCTTAAAAAAAAATCGACCCCGGGTCTTTTTTTTCAATGCCGGCACCCCCTTGTACAGGGGGTAATTTTTTTTTTTAATGGCCTGTTGGCCGGACTAACTAACCATCCCGATATGGCATTTTCAAATCCTGGACCCCCCTTGGATTTCCTGTAGCTTCCAGTCCGAACTCTATCTCCTCTCAATAGAAATTTTCTAATTGGGACCCACAACGCCGATCCGTCGTCTGCTGTCCTTCATCCCCTTCACTTCCCTCTTCACTGTCGCAAGGCTTGTTGCCCTCGATCCTGCTACTGCTAACTGGTAACCGCGCAAACAAAGGCGCATAGAGATGTTGGCAAATTTAGGACAGGGAATGGACACTTATTCATGACCAGATGGCGCTTTTTGGCCAGAAAATAAGTTGGATGAAGTGACACACTGTGGTCCTGGAATTTCCTGATGCATTCCGTGCATAAATCCCCACGTACCGGACTGGCAGTCCCCAAAAGATCCCATGCGTTATGAGATTTATGCATTACGTGGAGTGTACATATAGTCAACGTTCAACGCTGACCTATTCGGAGTCGTGCAAACTATCCCCGGTACTGTACAATTGGGTTTGAAACAATCTATGAATGCAGAATTCGAACGTGCTGAACTTATATACCCAAGAACTCTGTAACCCGCCATGATCCTGTGTTCGTGAGTAAAAGTGTGAGGTAGGTTTGGTTGAATGTCCTCCTTATAGCAAAATTTCGAGTAAAACCATATGGCCCCCAAAAAACCCCTACTAGGATTTGCCCCCTCGGACGCAACTCCGCTACTTAAAACAACTGACCCTGCCCATCTGCTAAACCACCAAAATAACATGTTAGCGCTTTCAATTTATTCCCCATCCACTCTTCTTCCACCTCCACGACTTCTTTCGGCTCCGTCGACCCTTTTTGCAGCCCATCTATGGAGGCTGCATCGCCGTTTACCAACCCCTGCCCAACCGCAGCCTCCTTCTCCACATCAAGCAACTTGCTGATCTCCTCCAACTTCGTATTCCGCGGCAAGTAATACGCCACATTCTTCGTTATTCTCCTTGTGAGCTTGAAGAGCTCCTCGCCGTGGATGGGCTGAATCGAAGAGAGGGAGTAAGAGGGATGTTTGGGGGTGGGAGTGGGTGGCTCATCATCGTTGTTCTTTTCAAGCACAGGGAGTGGGATGGCGCCGTTTGGGTCTATGGAAGATGATCCGGAGAGGTACGTAGGCCCGCCCCATGGTGGACTTAGAAACACAACGTCGATCTTTCGAGTGTTTTGGGAGTAGTTTTGTCGAGTAGGATGTGCTTCAGCTCCAGCTTCGGGCTGAGTTGACGATGGGGCAGAGCCTGGATGCGACGTGGCGGAGACGCGAAGGAACGCGTTGGCAAACGAGATGTAATCTGAGAGAATGAACTCGATCCGGTCAGCAACGCCGTAAATCTGGGCGTTGTGCCTTGCGAGGGCAAGGCGGATGGGGGAGGTATCAAGTGCTATTACTGCGTACGCGGGTTGATAGGGAATTGACCGCAATATTTAGAGACCACGTACCTCGTTGACAAGTCTTCGCAAACGCGATCGTATTCCCACCGACACCACAAAACGCGTCCAATATGGTATCGCACCGACAACGTTCCGCGATCTGGTCCGCCACGCGCTCCGGAGTAACGCTATACCACCCCTCTTCGTCTAAAAGGCATCCTGGGAGCTGTGAGTATAACGAGAAGTATCGCGTGCGCTGTGAAAAGTCTGTGCGATGTGAGGCCAAATCAGGTGGAAGCGAATGGGGGACATACATTTTTGTAGGTGTTCCGGCACATCCGCAGCGTTCGAGTAATGCGGCACTAACCCTGTTGCATCGTATGCCTTGATCCATTTTCCATCCTGAATGCTAATTATGGGCTGCTCTTGAACGACAATCTCAGAGCCATCATTCGCTTTGCGCTTTTTTGTCGGCCTGCTCTCTACCTCTACTACTGCTTCCTGATCTGGGTTCCCCGGCGCTTGCACATTGGTACCATTCACCGCTTGGAGCAGATTCGACTCGGAGTCCAGGTTGGTTGTTGGCAAGGTGGGTGGTTCGGATTTAAACGATTCAAACACGTAGCTGGAAAGACCCCTCAGTGCGCCTCGCTTGTTCTTGCCCATTCGATGGTGTTTTTTGTTTCAATATTCCAGCAATGGGTGTTCAAACGGGGAAGTTTGAGGGATACTTGAGGGATACAAAGGAAATAAGGAGGTCACAAGATTTTGATGAGCTGTCACGATAAGATAAGATTCAACCTCACCAGATAAGATTCGGTACAGGGCCGGGTACTGAATGTTGAGGTTAGAATGCTCTAAATCGACAAGGACCTAGCTGAAAACAAGACCCTTTGAAGCCTTTGAATACTTCTATATCCAGTACGGCACGATGAGTTGGAATTGACTTGATGGTCGCACTAGGTCGATGGCTTAGCGCTCAACGTTCAACATTCAACACACCCCTCTCGACCAACTCTCGACACAGCTGGGATTCAATTGCGAGGGCCAGGTAGATTTTGTGGATCGCCCGGTCTTGGTACATTATTGCTCCTTAAAAAAGATTTTTTTCCAGCAAATGTTACAGCTAACTGCATAATCGTAGACCACATCTGAAATTTCACTTTGCACCTTTGTCTGTGCATAAACATCCGTTTTAGGCCGTGGCTATGTAAACCATGACGCCGATTCGCATGTGCTGCTAGGGCTGCGCACCGTACCCGTCCAAGACGGTTGGACGGGACGTTTAGACGGGTGCTCTACCCGTCGCCGTTTCGATTTGGGATAAGATTCTGACGGGACGGTGGACGGGACGGATAGCACCCGTCTATTCCCGTCACCTAGACGGCCGTCTGGACGGTACGGACGGCGATGCTGTGGGAAGATTTTCTACCCTGCCAACATCGACGTCAACGATGTAGCCTTCCGTTGAATCCGTTCCCCTCCACCGAAATAGGCGTATTGTCCTTCGTCGACGGCGATTTTGTATGGGAAACTGTGTTAAGCATTACGGGCAAGTCCGGTCCGTGCTTCTCCTCCCTCTCGCAAACTTACCTTGTACTAACGTTGCTGCTACAGATTGCATTTGGCGCTTATGCATCTCAAACACAGGTTTTTCGAGACTGGGGAGAAGGGAATTAACTTGATTGGTGGTCAAAAGGTGCGGTGCCCGTTAAATATGACGAAAGCGGCTCTAACATACTTTTCGCCAGTGCCCCCGTTCAATTCATTAGCCAGGAGTTGCAGTGGACCATGATAGTGAGAGTTCGGCGAGAACGTTAAAACCATCTCACACACCGCGGATGAGTTTGAGGCATGCTACGTGGAATCCGAGGCCTCCAGACGGTGTGAGTTATGGTCGTGCCGTTGCCTTACCCTCCTGACTTTGCATTTTTAGGACCTTCGTCTTGCTGCAAGCCGTCATCGATTCATCCTTGGTACTTCATTAACCCTTAGATACAGGCTGTCTATATTCATCACTGATACACAGCCGTTGACACCCGTCACCCGTACGACGGCCGTCTCCGTCCCCGTACCGTCCTCGTCGAGATCCCAAAGGAAACACTGACGGGACGGGGGACGGACGAGGCTTACCCGTTTACCACCCGTCCAGTAGACGGCCGTTCCCGTCCAGACGGACGGTGCGCAGCCCTATGTGCTGCCCATTGCTCCAAGTTCTACATCAGGAAAACTACACATTGACTTAGGCCGCTTAGGTAACTTTGACAAGTGCAGAAGTGGCGAAAGTGAACTCAAGTGACCAAATGACGGTCACTTGGCTATGTAGGTCCCTGTCTTACAAAGTGACTTGGTCTTGGGTATGTGAGACTCAAGTGGGTAAGCTGTATTGCACAAAAGTGACCAAGTGACAAAGTAGTAGTCTCAAACTGTTCCGAATTGCACACAGGATGGTAAAAGTAGGGGGTAAAAGAGTATATTGAATGATACAAATGTCTATTTACAATGTACCAGCTCAAGGAACACGTAGAAAACCCCCCGTCTCACTCTTCAGCCTCACTGTCCTCTTCAAACAAAGATCCTCGCACATTGAGGGGAGAAGCATTGGCACCTTGGGTGAGCGAAACGGATAGCTTCGGTTTCTCCATGAGCCCGATTGCGTGTCAATTTGTTGATAGACTTGATGTAGTCCACGGTGCTGACGCCCCAGTTGTCTTCCAAGAAATTTGCCTCTTCCTTATGATCCAGGATGCCGGCAGTAGAAACCCCTGTGACCTGGAACCTGAACACGCACTCCGCCTGCACGAAAATATGATCATGCAGAAGGGAAGGGAAGAGGAGACGTACCCAACTGTTGAATAGGCATAGCGAAAACGGCGGTGGAATTCTCCATCTGGGTGCGAATGAGCTAAATTTGGGCACGACGAAGACCGCGGTAGGATTCTCCATATGTGCATGGTGGAAGGCAGTGTAGATGTAAGCGAGGAGGTGGTACCTGGGTAGGGTAAAGTCGTGAGAAGGAGACGGGCAGGGAAGAAGGGAACAAACCATTATCGTCGCTACAGTTCAGGATCGTCTTGTAACATCCCTGCCCCTCACTAATCGCCGTAGGCGCCTGTATAACCATCAACCCCAACTTCCTTCCCTGCACGTTCTTATTCACCGCAATATCCTCTATGTGGCCTACCTTACCAAGGCCTCTGAGACACTTTTGCTCGATAAAGACACAGCCGACGGCAACGATCTGGTCGGTGGGTTTGTGGATTATGACAACAGTGAAGTACTTCGAGTAAGTGAAGGGAGAGCGGCGGTGCTTGTCAAAGGCTGCTGAGTATGCCTCCACACATGGATCGGACACAATGGTGAGGACAGAGAGAACTGACAGGTGCGGCGAGCGCGTGTAGTCTGTCTTGGCTAGAGGACGTATCTGCGTGAGGGTCAGTGTGTCGTGCAGGGCTCGCTGAGCAATGACGAACGTGCAGATCAGGCCCGAGCTGGGATTTGACATCGGCGGGAATGAGTTCTGGGTCAAAGAGGAGCTCAAGGTCGGCATTATGGTTTGTTTTCCACGTCGGCGAGCGAGCAGGCACAAACTGCACTGGGATTTGGCGAGGGCAGATTGGAGACCGTATCAGTTGCTAGTTATGATGAACGTTGAAGAGAAAAAGCGATGGTGAAAATTTCAACATCGTCACATGTCGTCGGACTTCGAATGGACTTGTGAATAATTTCTAACGTGTTTGAGCACCCCGACGGCTTTTGGGCACTTATGACTTACTGAGGTGAATGACTTGGATCCCACTTGGACTCACTTTGAGTTTGAAAGGAGGTTGTGGCTGTAACTTGAAGTGCCGAAGTGATTGAAGTGATTTCAAAGTGATCTTTCAAGTGAGTAAGTTCGAGAAGTGATGTGTAGTTTTCCTGATGCTAGCACCGTTTCGGTAGTTGCTCCAAACGCTCCAATCCTGCCCCACACGTCATAAGGGTGGAGCGGAAGGGCGTTCTACCTAATACAGTTGTTTGTACAAATAAAGGCGCACAAAGTAAAATTTAGATATGGTCTACGGTTATGCAAGGGGGGAGCACAATTTTAATTTAATATATCATGTTGATTTTTTTCGTAACACCACTACGGCTGGACTAACCAACCAGTAGTGTTGCCGAAGTCCGATTTGGTCCGGTTCCGGTCTGGTTCCACCGGTTTTCCTTCAATTTACCAGACCAGACCGTTTGTGACCGGTTAAACCAAATAGAACCACTTTGTTTACCCATATTTAGACATACATATATGCAAAAGTATTGTTGCATTAGCAATACTAAGATTTTCACTCTGAAAAATTACAAACCTACTTATGGAAGCCTGGAGTGTAATTTGAAGATGACTTTCAACAAACATCTTTGCATTGAAGGTGATATCTTTGTGTTAACTTTCATCTGCATTACCGTCACAAGCAAGTCACAATCAGCTGTGTGACGTGTCACACATGCTGCAAAAAATCTATTTGCGTTCTAGAGACTACCTACAGTGTTTTTATACAACTTATAGGTAGTAGACATATTGCTCATATGTTTATAGAAGAATTTGATGGTCCAAAGTGAATCGGACAAGCATAAACTCACTTGGATGTTTGGGTGGTCAAACCATCAGTTTAACTACAGTTTAACCGTTTGTAACCGGTTCCTGACAGTCTGAAAACTGTGGTTTATTTTTCGGTTTGGTTCCTGGTTTGACCGGAACCAAACCGGACTTCGGCAACACTACCAACCAGGCGTGTGAACAACCTTCCATATATAGGTAGAATCTATAAATAAATCACATGTTTTGGGTATTTTTGGGTGTCGTGTTACCCACCATCTTATCTACACTGCACGCCTTTGTTTGCTGGCCCTTCCTTGAACCCAAGATGTGTGTCATGGTTGATGCATGGAGCTTGATAGGCTTCACAAGGACCTGGGCTGCAGATACTGATGGTGCAGGTGTACATGCTTCCTGTGTTGTTCCTGTGGATGTGCAGTGAAGAACTTTCATTGTTGTTTGCCTTCCTTGCTTTTGCACACTCCTCTCTCTCCCTTGCTCTCCTGCTTGTTCTTGGTGCATTGCTTACTCCCTTTGTGTCACTTGTAGTAGGTTTGAAGACCAATTGTGCATGAAGGGACTGTTGCATTGCAATGTTGATAGATAATGATTGTCATCTCAAATATTGTCAAATCATATACCAGGTTTCTTAGAATGGATTATCCTTCTAAGTGTAAATAGCACTTAATCCTTCTGGAAGGGTCATCCTAGGAAATATCCCACTTGGTAAGTGAGGACAGCATGTTAAACACCTCAGAAAGTGCACCAGCCTGATCTGAGCTCACCCAGCCTGTAAATTACCCAAAATTGGTACTTGAAATAAATTTTTTTTAACAGCCTGCCAGCCGGACTAACCAACCGACCCCATATGGCAGATTCAAATCCCGCTCCCCCCTTGCGGTTATGCAGTTAGCTGTAATAAAGCAGTTGAAATAACTCCACTGCAATGCTATCACTCCAATATGACTCTAGACTCGAAATCCGAGGGACGGGAATATCTTTACTGGGTAAGTAGGAAGGCGCTAATTAGTTACAGTAACTATCACTCAATCTCTTGCTTTCGTTTGAGAATTATGAGCCGACCTCAGCACGGCTGCAATGATTTCTAGGTGCGTTCATCATCGCCATCGCGCGTGTACCCGAACTCAACAGCTTGATTTTCATATGAAAGATTCAAATAGTACGGTGAACGGGCGTCTCCGTATATCCATTCGCGATGATAAAAAGGATGATCAATGGCGTTCCATCAACTGTCAAAAGGTATCATCTTTGGCAGCCATTTAGCAGGTGAAAATGTCATTCGTCATCCCTTCGATAAGGAAGTGTTTGAGGTTCTTCATCAATTTTGATTTGGAGATATACAGTGTGTCTGTTCGCGACGGCTGCGTAGTTTTTCTTTCTTTCGGAGGTAAGTTGAATAAATAAATTTGTACGGCGAAATCCTACGATGATTGTGTATAGGCGCGAATGTGCCCCAGCGAACTTATGCGTCAAGGCTATGCAACGATATGATGTTGGCGTCGAGGATTTGGCTCCAACAAATCGCATCAATCTAGGTACCCAGCGCCTCCACCTGAGAGAAACAGATTGACGCACAAGAACAGGAATCTGGTCCGTCAAAGATCAGACAACTGATGTGGCAGACGTGCGAGAGGGTGCGTCGCATGGAGAATATCCCTGCAAGATATTCTGTGAGCTGGGAAACTCGTTGATTCGAATAAGTCACCGTCTCTCTCCTTCACTACCGTGTGATGGAGTCATGGGACCGGAAAGGGTATCTCGGTCATGTACCGACTCTCGATATTAACTTGATATTAACAATGCTCACCGCTTGATACTGGCGGATGCCTGCAGATGCGGGTTGGATGCGGGGGGCCCACAATTGAAAGGCACCGATGATTTGGTGACGACAACGTTGAAACCATAGAAATAGCAGGACAGATGTAAATCGTCTTGTCCCAGAAAGTACGTGCGGCGGCCTCCTTCAGCTTCAAGATGCTTCGCTTTCGCTGAGATATTTCTGGAATTCTCAAGGTCCAAATGTGGCGGATAAAGACCTTAACGTCGAACCTGCTGGGAACCCGCTCACGCGGTCGAGTTCCGTCGTCATAAAAAGGAAATAGATTCCATGCGACCGCGTCCGATGGTGAAAGAGTGACTGTGTGTTAAGGGGTGGCGACATGTGGGTCCCTGAATATTTGTGGGATACATACATGGAGTTTATATGACAGGAGACAGACCTTTTGAGCGCTTTGCCGATGGCGACAGGCACCATATTTTCTGGGGAAAACCATATGCAGGAGCAGTCAGACTTTCGTAATACTTACGGTCAAGGCGATTCCATTGAGTTGCAAGCAGCCGGGCTTTTTGTGTCTGTGTGGATTGTACTGCGTCTATGAACATTGAAAGTAAGGGGGAGAAAAGCAAGGAAAGTGCATCATCCAAGAAGACATCTTGAATCGGTGCGACGTCAACGGCTGACGCCCATTTCGATGTCGTGGAGGGTTTTCGTTTTGGACATACATGGCGAATGATCCACCTCTTGTATCAGCGTCATCATTCCACATACTGCCATCCAGATATGCCCAAAGACTCTTGTCGGAGTCAAATCCGGTTACGTTACGCCCCGGCTCTCGAGTCTTACCTGTTCAAGGCTGAAGTACTGGTGCTATCTTGGTGCTATCAAGGATCTTGGATTCAAAGTTTTGACGGCATTCCCCTCTCCGGTCGTAAAAATCCTTGATCAAAATTAGCCCGTGATGTAACTCACAAGATCCGATTTCAGTGTCCACGCTAGTCCACGCTTCGCGGAAGGGTAGCGTTGCATGAGCGCCGCTGTCTTGATTCGCTGCCATAACTGTAACTTGAAGGATTGAGGAGCGAAAGTCGCGCGATCAACGGCGATCGTGGATCAAACGTTTTCTGATGGCGGCTACATTGTCCCGGTAGCCGGCCCTATCCGGGCCCATCCAAAAATAGCATCCTTTCCTCGTTTTCCTCATCGCCATTGTTCCTCTTTCGATTCTGCACTTCATGCGATTCTAGGCTCTATAATTTTTTGTCCATTTGACGGGGCGTCGTTTATCGCGATCAGACCTGATCAGACCCACATTTACAGAACAGGCAAGACAGGTCCCTGAACAACCCCCATCCAACGAAATTCGAATACAAATATGAATATCGACTCCGACTTTCAGGCTTCTTCTCCTTCGCGACGCGTCCCATGACCTCCCGCCTTTGATCAAGTGCTACATCCTTATTTTCCCCATATTCATGTCATTATTGTCAATCGTACGACTCAATTGAATATTGTATCATTCAACATTGTGCGCAGGGAAAATCCATCAGAATTTTCTGGGCAAGGCGCATCGTCGACTGTCGCGTGAGCTAGAGATAAGAGAGCGTACCACGATTGGCGGCGAGCACCAGATGTTACTTACTTGCTTGCCGTCTTGTGAGATCCGGGCACGGATCCAACGGCGTCGCGAAATTTCCATGGTTTCTTCGCTCTGAGGAATCGACTCCAAGCTCTTACAGGGGTATATTACAAAAATTACCGCACCCACTTCAAATGGCACTTGCACGCCAACCCATCTAATGAAAATCCACACACTCTCCCCTTCAAGTTCTTGTGAGCTGAATTTTCTAATTGGCCGGAACCATTGATCATCATTATTTACCCCACAACTTCCAAGTTAACTTTTCCCCTTATGTTCCGGTTGTTCTTACGATTGAATTTTAGAGTTTTGGGAGAACTCGAATGGCGTAACTACTACGGCTTATCCCGTCGGGCCTTTAGCGATACGAACTATGTACTACTGAAAGGCCTAGCTCAAGTTGGTATAGTTGATTTTCGTCAGTGTACCAAGCCATTTGTGGTGCAGCTGAATTGGGCAGAAGGATTTCGAGAAATCCAGACTAGTGAAAATTTCCTTGGCACTTGCGTCTATGATCATGCATATGATAGCCGGATTTTTGTGAATTAGTGGGACCAGAATGCGAGATGGGGATTTTTTTATGTTTATGGGAATAACAATCCACTCTAAGAAGACGTCTAAGTAATATTCAAAGACTTCTATGTAACATTCCTGCACCACCAAATTATCTATGCCTACATACACAAAACATCCCATCGCCACCCTTTTTTCACTTTCACTATTCACGACGTATGCTCGGTGCTATTTGTTGTAAAGGAGGGTAAGAAGGGGAGGGGGAAGATACAAATAATATAACCTTTTGAACCTGTTCTCAAACAGTATGTAGCGCAACAAAAAAAGGAGAGGGCGGGGTGGTGGTGAAAAAGGTGGAAAAAAAAGGGGGGGGGGGGTAAAACGAGAGTGATTGTTTGATAATCGATTGGCTACATTGAGTACGTAGACGGTAGCGGGGATAGAGAATTTTCGGCTGAGCAAGCCTTGAAGCTTGATGAATCGAATGAATAGCTGGCTGGAGTTTTCGCTACAAAGTGCGGAGCGGCCTTCAAGAGGCAGCGAGGGGGTAAGGGGCATGACGCGACGTGAGTGTAGATAGAGCAATGACGATGGGAATTACGTAGGAGGCGAGGGGCGGGATTAAGAAAGCTGGTAGTAGCCGATGGATGGAGGGAGTTGGTTGGGAGGAAACCCACGAGACGACGTGCCAAAGGAATGGGGAGGGGGATTTGGTGATCAGCCACCAGAAATCGGAGGGAGGTCCACAGGACGGAGTATCGGAGGGAGACATAGTAGAACAAGCAGGGAGGAGTAGGGAGGGATATCAGACTGGGTATGATGCCAAAGAACTAGTAAAACATAATACACGAACAGATCCAGACAATATGACAAGCACCGACGAGCGGCTGTGGGAGAGGAGGCGCATACACTTGAAGAGGGGAAGGGTAGCATGGGTATACTTGAAGGGCGGATGATGATCCCATACACGAACCGAGGCGCATACATTCGTCGAACCGGCGCTCAACGCAAACGGGACGATCACATCATCATCCCACCAACAACAGCTTGCTGCTGCTGCATCCCATTCAACCCCGCCATCCCCCCAACCCCCATCTCAATATATGCGCCCCTGCGCGGAACACCAACCCCATACTCCCCCTGCCCAATCGCCAGTTCATACGCAGGGCTATCCCCTCCATTTCCTGCGTTATTCCCATTACCGGGCGGAGAACCCGTATAGGAACCTCCATACCCAGAAGGAGAAGCCGCGTACGCCGGAGAACCGTATGAGCCACCATATCCAGTAGGAGAGCCAACGTATCCTGACCCAGAAGCGGCAGAGGACGCAGACCGACGCCGGCGCATAGGTACAGGCTGCGAAGTGCCGCTGAAAGCGTACCCGCCATCAGGGGCGAACGCTGCGGAAGAAGATACCATGGATGACGAAGAGGTGGAATGGTGGGGCGGTGACCCCGAGCCCGAAGCCGAGTGCGGGGGAGATGGCGAGCTATGATTTGAGTGACTCCCCGCTCCATTCGTGGGATGGGAGTTGGAGTTGGGTGGCAGCCCGTGTGAAGTGGCAGGCGGCGTGTACAAGCTCCATTGAGCCTGGATCATTTGTTGTTGTTGTTGGTGGTGCATCATTTGTTGCTGGTGGTGCGAAGTGTACATGTTGTTCCAGTGCATTTTCTCTTGGTGGTCGTGGAAAAAGGTGCCTTGGCTGGTATATGCGTGGTGTTGGTTATGTCCTTGGTGGGGGTGGTGGTTTGCGTGGTGCTGGGCCTGTTCATAGAGGGCTGCGATAGAGTTGTCGTATGAGGCGACCATGCTGGGTCTAGGAAGGATATGCGGTAATCCCCCTCCAGTTGCTGAACTGGGAGGAGGAATGTTGTGCGCAAATGGGTTGCTGTTCTTGAGCATCGCAGCTACCCGTGGGTCATCCATCTCCTCCAAATGCATCTGCGCGTTCGGGTGCTGAGTTGGAACAGTCGAGTACGGTCCCTCTTCCTCAATATCATCCATATATGCGCCTCCATAGCCACCGTCATTCCCTCCTTCCCCATCATACCCGTCTTCTTCGTCCCCATCACCAGGGACAGCTGCAATGACCTCTAACTCGCCTGACAGGATCATGGAGAACCCGTCCGAGCGCATAGGCTCCTCAATCCGCGGAAGTGCGGCGCGGTCGCGCCACTCATTGAGTTCCCGCCGGAGGGCATCAGATTCAAGTTTAACAAGGCGGAGTTCACGAGCGGCGAGGAGGCGGTGCCTGCGTGATGCATTTATATGCGCTATGGAAGAGTTGACGATGGAGGATTTAGAGGGACGCCTGATTTGGGAAAGATTTGGGAGGAGTGCGGCTAGATCCTACAAATCAAATGTTTTTTTTAAGCACATCAACGAAGAAAATTAAAGATAGACTTACGAGGAATCGACCATTGAGTGTTTCCCTGCGCTGCCGCTCGACGGCATTGTGAGTAGCCCGTCGTTCAGCGGTGTTTGCCCTTCTGCTGGGTTTACGTTTGATCTGCTGGGCGGTGTTGGTGGCTGTGGGGGCAGCTGGCTGATTGGGCTGCTGCTGATCCTGTGTGGCTTGTGGTTGTCGTTGAGTGGAGTGTTCGTTCTGGGTTGGGGAGACGGAGGTGTTGGCGTTGTCGTCGGGGGGGAGAGCCATGGCCATTGGTGGATAGAAAGAATGTCGTTGGGAAGGGTACGCGATTACTCAGCGGAGGCCCTTTGTTGTTGTCGTTAGTTAGTACAAGTCGCGAGCAGGGCTCAAGCGTTGAGTAAGTAGGGCGGGTAATGAGAGGCCGGCAAGGGTCGCGAGATCTGTGCAAGTCAGTTCAGCATTGTATAAGGCGCATATAGTCGGACAATGTACTCACTCCAGGCGGTGTCCTTGTTGCGGCGGGGGACAAGGGCGGGAGGGGAGGAAGGAGAGAGGAAACGACAAAGCACAGATTATTGAAGGACCATAAGAGAAGGGAGAAAAGCGCGGGGAATCCCAATCACTACAAACCAGGTTAAAACTATTCCCAAGGCACAACAAAGCCGTAACAAACACTGTCTATCACTACCAAAACAGTACCAATTAGATCGCTCTTCTCGGCTAGCCGGGCCCTGCAAGATCTACAAGATCTCACGACATTCCGACTCGGTAGCTTCGTCCTTTCCTCCAGGGAGGGTTGACGGACTGACGCTCATTGTCAATGTGACGAATGTATTCACAATCCACTTTCACCCCACCACCTCTTTCAATTCTTTATCAAGTCTACATTCCGACAAGACACATCCATCAATCACGTACAATCCGGCCAATCCATCCCGCAACCAAGTATCAGTAAGTCCCTTGCCCAGAGTCGTCTTGGAATCCTTGGATTAAGGTAATACCGAAGATACAGCGAATTACACAACTTTTCGTGGCCCTGGTAATGCTAGATTCAGACGGCACCGAGCGAGACGAAAGTACCACCGAAGCTCGTGTTTTCAAAGGGTGAGAGATGGCGTTGGATGGCAATAGCCGATCGTGAGGCCCTGACCCCCAATTTCAGAGCGATGTAAGTAACGACTGCTCTCGTCGCAGGAGGCCGCCCAGCGCCCACTGCTTTGAAGCGACCAACGACGCCCCTCGAGTTTCAAAACAAAATGGACGGAAAGACATATCACGAGAGCCGTATCCTAGTACGCCTCCGAAATTTCATTATTTAAAATTTTAATCCAGTGGCAACCAGCGTCTAGTTACATATCAAATCTCGAGCTCCAATCGATCTCCAAGGTTCAACGTTCAGGAACTGTCCAGTCGGGCATATCGTAAGTATACGTTTGAAGGAACGTTTAACCTACTGTGGCCTACAGGGTAACCCACCGTTTTCATCCGCTGAGTCTCACGAATGCCAAATAGTTCGACAGTTCCCATCTCAGTACAGCAGTGTCAGTCTTCAACGACACATCTACATATCGGCACCATCACCCGTTTCTTTGCGAGACAAAACTAAATCGGTAACGGTGCGAGAGTAAGAGGGATACATCAGCCGCTTATACGTGCTCTGGACATGGGTGGGGAAACAAGCGCCGATTCAGCGCTGATATCGAGCGACTGACCGTGACATGGAGTGTGATGACTTACCTGTACTTATGATTAACGTTAAATGAAATCCACGCGTCCTCGGCGATTGGTATTTAAGCTTGATCGACAGCATTAAAACGTCAAGGAATGGGCTTTACTGCTAACCATAGACCAGCCTAGATATACCGTACCTAAGAAATAAAAATGGGGGGCACAGACAGGCACCTTCAAACACTCAAACATCCTCCGTTGCCCAGTATTTGATCATTCAGCGAAGTATGCAGCCCGCAACTACACCTTTACCCGACCCCGACGCCCGACGCGTTCCCTTATCAAGTTACCTCCGATCAAGTACCACTCTCTCCCAAAAAAGAGAAAGAAAGATCGGCCTGCCGGCTAGCCGCGGTCTCATGATCTCTGACACGTTTTTCTTTGGTTTACAGTATTCACGAGAAACATTGACCATTTTGGAAGGAGTTTACTATCGCAATCCTGGTTGAGTCATGGAAAGTGTGACACCTTGCCTTTCCAGGAGCATCACTGAGTTTTTTCTTGTGGGGAAAGGCATGGAGTTCTTGAAAATCCGGGCCAAGAAAGTTGCATTGCCTTTTCTTAGCTAGTAAAGGGTGAACAAAAGCTGAAAGACTTGAAAGATTTTCCTGTTTGTGATATTGTAGTAAAAGGTAAACAGGTGAGTAAGATAAAGAGGAAAGCCAAAGGAAAGGGATCCTTTGTTTTCAGATGCCATAGAAAATTGATACATGTTGTGAAAAGAGGCCGGAAAGAATGAAATTTCTGAAAAAGGACTCTTTGTTTGGATCTGTTCAACTATTCTGAGTGAGAATATTCAATGACTTTCCTCTTTGTGGAAAGGGAAAAATCTAATTACAACAAAGAGTATTACCCTACATATTTATTAGCCTGCCCCCACAATATTTCAGCCTGGAAAAGGTGTTGCACTTGCTCTGGCTATCCCAGTTTGGGATCTTGCACTATGTTTCTTGTGATTGGACTTCCAATTGAGTGCCAAGAGAACTTGCATTTGATTGAAGCAGAATCTAATTTGACCATTTTTTAAAAAAACAACAGGATGTCATGGGGTAGGTAGCGAACTGATCAAATTCATATATTGGTTCCTCTTTTCACAGGTACTAATCATTTGGCTGCCCCACTGTTTTCGAAAAAAAAAAAGGCCTTTTAATGGATTTGTAAAGACACAGTGATGTGTGTTAAATAAATGTGTACACTGCAGTTGTGCTGGCCCTTAATCTGTTGACAGTGGAGGAGGGAGACAAGACATGCAGGCAATACAGGTGGTTCAAGTGATAAAGATGATGAGTAATTGGCGATGTAAACATGAGATAATCCAGAAATTTGATCTGTTATAGGATTCCTAAGACCTGCATATTTGGATATAAAAGTTGGTATGATGGAAACACAAGACATTAATATACTACCATGTCTAGGTGGGTGTATAACAGTTAGCCCAATCACAGCCAATGTTGGAATCTCGGAAGTTGATGATGGCAGACCCTTTGCAGGAAATTACAAGGCGGGTGTATGGATAAGCCATCTCTGGGACCCACATGAGCTGATATCCACCAAGTGCAGAACAAATCCAGGGTTTTGTATCAGTGGTCCAGGCAGGGTAAGCATGACCTACAATGGACAAGCGTGCAGATTCATCATCTGTGGTGTTATCAGCAGGAGAGGTGTTGGGGTTTGGTGAACATGTGTGAATATTTGGCACCTTTGTCTGAGCCTCAAATGATGCATCCCAGACCCGCACAGAATGGTCAGATGAGCCAGAGATGATGTGGGTGTCATAAGCAGAGAAGGCGACAGACAAGACAGTTTTTGTGTGGCCACTGAGAACCTTCAGCTCAGCCCCAGTTGATGCATCCCACACCCGCACAGAATTGTCTTTTGAACCAGAGACAATGTGGGTGCCGTCATTGGAGAAGGCAACAGAGCAAACAGTGTTTGTGTGGCCCTTAATCACCTTCAGCTTAGCCCCAGTTGATGCATCCCACAACCGCACAGATTTGTCAGATGAGCCAGACACAATGCGGCTGCCATCAGGGGAGAAGGCAACAGACCAGACCTTTCCCTTGTGGCCCACAAGCACATTCAGCTCAGCCCCAGCCAACACATCCCACACCCGCACAGAATGGTCTTCTGAGCCAGAGACAATGCAGGTGCCATCATTGGAGAAGGCAACAGATGAGACCATTGCTGTGTGACCTCTCAACACATTCAACTCAGCCCAAGATAATGCATCCCATACCCGCACAGAATTGCCGAATGAGCTAGAGATGATGCGAGTGCCATCAGGAGAGAAGGCGACAGTGGACCTGACAATACCTGTGTGGTCCTCATGCACCTTCAGCTCAGCCCCAGTTAATTCTTGCCACACCCGCACAGGCTCACAATTGTCAGATGAGTGATCAGAGATGATGTGAATGCCATCAACAATGGGCCAGACAGTTTCCATGTGGCCATGGAGCACCTTCAGCTCAGCCCCAGTTGACACATCCCACACCCGCACAGAATTATCAGATGAGCCAGAGATGATGCAGGTGCCATCATTGGAGAAGGCGACAGATGAGACAATTTCCGTGTGGCCATCAAGCATATCCAGCTCACCCCAAGTCGATGCATCCCACACTCACATAGACTTGTCTTCTGAGCCAGAGACAATACGGGTGCCATCGGAGGAGAAAGCAACAGACAAGACATGTCCCATGTGACCCTCAAACATCTTCAGTTCAGACCCAGTTGACACATCCCACAGCCACACAGAATTGTCAGATGAGCCAGAGACGATGCGGGTGCCATCAGTGGAGAAAGCAACAGACCACACAGGTCTTGTTTGACCGGCAATGAGCACATTCAGTGCAGCCCCAGTTGATGTATCCCACACCCGCACAGAATTGTCATATGAGCCAGAGACGATGCGGGTGCCATCAGTGGAGAAGGCAACAGACGAGACAATTTCTGTGTGGCCTTTAAGGACTTTAAGCTTAGCCCAAGTCAATGCCTCCCACACCCACACAGACGTGTCTTCTGAGCCAGAGACAAGGCGAGTGCCATCAGTGGAGAAAGCAACAGACCAGACAGGTTTTATGTGGCCATTGAGCACATTCAGCTCAGCCCCAGTCACTGCATCCCACACCCACACAGAATTGTCAGATGAGCCAGAGATGATGTGGGTGCCATCAATTGAGAAGGCAACAGACAAGACATTTTTCATGTGGCCATTAAGCATGTTCAGCTCAGCCCCAGTCAACACATCCCACACCCGCACAGAATTGTCAGATGAGCCTGAGACAATGCGGGTGCCATCATTGGAGAAGGCAACAGAGCAGACAGTATCTGTGTGGCCCTCAAGCACCTTCAGCTCAGCCCCTGTTGATGCATCCCACACCCGCACAAAATTGTCAGATGAGCCAGAGATGATGCAGGTGTTGTCAGTGGAGAAGGCAACAGATACAATGCATGCATCTGTTTGTATTGACATCAGTGGCACATCCCTAGCCTTCCTATGAGTGAAGGATGGGATGCCACAGAAGTTTTCTCTCCACCATTGTGACATAGCAGATCCTGTTGACCAAGATGCCAATGCTGAGATATACAAGTGTGGTGTAGACAAAGCTGGTGGATTTGCTGTAAAGTAGGTGGCAAAATTGGCTGCTTCAGCGATGTTAGCGGCAAGCTCTGTTTCCCTGTTCTTATTCTGATTACCAGTTTTAGATGTGGCCCAACTCAGGTGACAATATTCTCACCTTCAGAACCCACTCACGTGTGTTTTGAAGCATTCTGCTACACTGGCCACTGGATCCAAGTAGGTTCATTGCCTCAATCCAAAAGAGAATGTGAAGATCAAGGAAGTCAGTGATACAGTCCCTGAGATCCTCCCCCTTCTTTTGATTGGTTTGGGCCAAATGCTGAGCCCAGTGCCGAGAGGCATACCTCAGGAATGGTTTGATATTGGTGTCAACCCGCTGCATCAGCTTTGGGTCCTCGGCATCAAGTAAAAATGAGGATGTTATGTCACCGATATTGAAATGTAGCGACTCCTTCATACGGTTGAAGCAACATTTTGTGAGAAGAGCATGGTGTTGGGCCTGACTACATGACATGGATATCTGGTGGCCGTCGCTGAGCTCGAATGTTGAACGAATCTGACTGAAGATGAAGTCTGGAAATGATGCATGATACCAAAGGACCTGGTTGTCTTTACAATAGAGAACCGCATGAAGTTCGTTCAAGACGGTGATGGCAGTCTCATCAGATTCAGAAAGTAGGGCAGCAGTAAGTAGTGTTTGAAAGTCCGGTTAGGTCCGGTTATTGGGTGCCCAGGGGCTCTAACCGAGACCGAGACCGGTTAGCCTTTGTCCCGAAACCTAAAATAACTGAACCGGACCGCAACTAACCGGTTACGGTCGGTTATTTGCAGTTACTAACCGGTTAGGACCGAAAAATAAAGAATCGGTTATAACAAGGCAAATATGTTCATATGTATCTTGATAGATATTATTTCTGCATATTCTAGCTTTAAAACGAGCCCAAGAACGCTAAAATTGGCGAAGAATTGACATATTTATGCAATTATCCTTGAAAGTCTACACATTTGAGTGATATTTTAGAGATTTGACTGTAACTTAGTCAAATTTTAAGCGTTTTCGACGTTCTCAAGTGCGTTTTGAAGGTGTATAATAGGGCTGGTTATAACCGGTTATAACCGGTTATAACCGGTTATTTAACGGTTAGTTAACCGCAAAATAACCGGTTATTCCATTTTCGAAATCAACTAACCCTAACCGCGGTTAGGTTAGTGTTGCGGTTAGGTCCGGTTATTTTCCGGTTATTTTCCGGTTAACTAACCTAACTTTCAAACACTAGCAGTAAGAGATGCTGGTGTGCATTCGAATGTACAGAGGAAGGTATGGAGAATGCACAGACGAGAGTTAAAGAGGATGTCGTCAAGGTCAGAAAAAGCGTCACACATGATTTGTTGATAGAGCTTGTCAATGAGCAATGGCTGCTGTGCACCGCTTGGTGAAAATGATTGCTGATTATGCAACCTGCTCAGTAGGTTGCATTGTTCAGATTCTGCCATCCTTCGACGTGGTGTCAAATATCTCACGATGGTTGCGGCGGAAATAAAAAGACCACCTGCCAGCTGTTCCATGGTCTTCATTTCCGGCTTGCCTGAAATTTTTGGAAACTTGCTCTGCAGGTACAGAGTGATATCTGATCCTACATGCTCAATTGGCACATCTTGCAGGCGGCAAACTGCCTTGGATGAGAATGTCTCGCAGAGTTCGACGATACAAGGGTCTGGCCGACTTGTGACAAGAAACTTGAGGCCTTGCAGGCGATGTTGGTTGATTGCCTCCAGTAAGCTTTGAAGAAACATGGATCCTCCATCGTTTTGAATCTCGTCCAATGCGTCAACGAGAATGAGGTAAACATGACGTTGCGATTCGCACTGCTGCCATGGGCCAACAAGGAGGTCCTTCATTTGCTTATTTAACTTGTCAACTGAGTCGAACTTGTCTGCTTTATGCAAGGCGTGGGCATACGAAGTCGACTTTCGGGCAAGCTGGTATACAAGAGTGGGAATAATATGGATCTGTCGTCTTGTCTCCTCAAATTGGCGGGAGCAGAGAAAGTTTCCGCCCAAGACGGTGTTCTGTCCAGTATGTTCTGTCTCCTCAAGCTCATCGAAGTGTTTGGCAATGGTATATGCGATGGTCGTCTTGCCAGAGCCAGCTTGGCCGGTCGGTCATCCAGAAGACAGGCGGGCTGTCTGCCGAGATGTCGTTAGCCCATGTAATTATCTCCTCTAAAATCTCCTTGCGAGTTCCTGCAGTGCATGGTTCACGGATCACTGTCGTCGCGCCGCCCCCCAAGTCAGCGTCGTAGATGGCCTTGCGTGCGAGAAGAGGGCCAAGTTTCGTGAGCTGAAGGATGATCAGATGAGATGGATGAGCGATTTTGTAACCTAAGAGGACAATAGCATTGACCTTTTCCTCGTTGATATTGATCTCCAGCGCCATCAGCTTGCTGGGTGGGTAGTTAACTGTTCCACTCACAGCGTAGAACGTGCCGCCGCTAATGTCAATGTCATGAGCATTTTAAAAATATGTGCTCCGGTCATTCAGAGTGGTCGAAGGTGCGCGTAAGAGTTCAGAATGAGGGAGAGAAAGAGAGGGGAGCGCCGGGAGGCCAGATAACCCCACGAGGCGAACGTGCAGAAATGGCTTGGCCGGCCGGCCCGGATTGGACTTGCCGTGTTCAAATACAAGGGGTAAAATGGCACAGAACCATCGAGCAGAAGGGAAATTGACAGGGACTCATCATGGATATCGACTATACCCCGTAAAATTACAGTCTCCAGTGCTGGAGATCGTAAATTGGACCATAATCTCAGGTGAATGAATGCATTTCAGCGAATGAAACGACGAAAGGGTTGAACGCCGTGATTAGCTTGGGATTTCCACGACTGCCGCGCTTTGAGGCTGGAGTTGAAAGTCAGTGGGAACGGGCTCGCCGTTGCAACCCACTGATGGACTGACTCCCGTAACGAGTTGTTTTCTTGGGCCCTTCTGGGAGTGCATTCATATTGACCATATTGCAGTCCACAACTTGCCTAGGAAGATCAAGAGCGACCTCTCGCCAACTTCTGTAGACACGGAATAAAGACATTGGAGGTTCCGCAGACACGTGAATAACCAGAGGAAATCGAGCAGAAACCAAGCAGAAACAGAAAGGAGGAATATTTCCGCAAGGAGGGAAACGTTTGGATGATGGGGAGGACATTTGTTCTGTTAGATCCCATAGTATATTAGTAACCGACAAAATTCAGGTGTTACGCTTTATCACCTTGTCGCAAATGGTATTGGTGACGAGCCACCTAACGTAGGTTTCGGTACCATCAACAACCAGAGGTACGGAATATAACTTTACAGAAGTGGCTCTACTGAATCATATTCAAAAGTAATCAAAAGACATCAGAGTAGTGGAAGATACCCTTTTGTTTGCTCGTTTGGTCGGAGACTGCGGAATCCATATCTGGGCTTGAAGGAAGAGTCAAAAAGCGCGAGCCGTCGGGATGGTGAAGCTAAGTAGTCTCGTTGAATGGAATTTGGGGCGCTGTCCTGCGCTTGAAGCTGAACTTTGAGAGGTCCATCATTTGCTAGAGAAATTTACAGGCGAGAAGAAACAGGTACAAACAGGCTCAATACTTCTGCCATTTCACTATTACTTATCCCGTGTTCGAAGCTCCCTTGCATGAATCAGAACAACGACGAGCACCCTAGCGACGAAACTGCTCGCATCCCTACGTACTTTCTCTCCTCATAGGTGCCAAAAGACCGGCAGGACGACCTCCGACAAGTTCTTGACAGCAATGGGCGACACCTCAGGCTGCAGCGACGCTGAAGGATGCCACACGCATTGTTACGAACTCGCACCGGGTTCGGGAGAGGTGGAGGCTGGGGTGTATGTTGTTATGGTTCGTGTTGCACATTTCTGGAGGAGTGGGTGCTGTTTGACTTGTTTATAGGACCAATGGGTAGATCGGTCGCTTGTGTTGGCAACAGTGAGTCCTTGTATTGTCTACTTAACAGTGTCTAATGTCTTGTATAGACCTCAATTTTACTCACCCGACCCAGCTATGATTTTTCTTTCGAGGTAGTAGCCTGCGCGGCCGAAGTATGTCTACAACTACAATAAACTCCTCCCAATCAAACTAACGTAAGGTTTTCCTTCTTTCGGAAGATAGGGAGTAATGACTTTGGATTGGATTTGCAGGTTTTCCGGAATGGTAAAACGCTCGGAACCCCTGCATGGGTGCTCCACGTCCAGTCTACGGGCATCCTTTCCCGACCACCGGACCAACTCTTGCATCACCCCGTGCCGAAAAAGCCCATAGAGAACTTCTCCCCGCATGTACGTAGCTCTTCACCCTTTTTTCCAATTTGTTACCTCCCCCAATATATGGATTGTGCTGACGACTTTACAGGAAATTACGGTAACGAACTATACAGGTTAAGCCCGGGAGTACCTCAAGAAGCTCATTACCGCCATGGGTGCCACATTCACCCCAAGTATGACGGGAAAAAATACAGTTCTCATGGTGGATGGGGAGAGGGAGTAACACTATGTGATGGACGTGGACGGTCCTGCTCCCGGCGGAGATTTTAGATTCGACGAAAATGAAGATGAAGAGGAGGACATGCACCTGCCTGTGGTCAAGTCAAAACTCAACGGCGCTTTATGGTCAGGGAAGAAAGTACCTGCTACTTCACTCACCATCAAAACCTTCCTCCTCGACTGCTGAGCCCACTACGAGGAAGAACTCCGGTGAAACTCTTCCCTGTTGCTATTCCTTTGAAAATGCCGACGAAGAATAAGGCCAAGGCCAAGGAGCTGGAGCCGGAGTTTCCTCCTTTGTCTCACCTGTCAAAGACGCACAGGTCGAGTCGGCGGAAGAGGAGGTATCTGCGAAGTCGAAGTCAGGATTCATATTCAAGAAGAAGACGTCCACGCGAATAGGTCTGGGAAGGGTATGCGCTAATTCCCCTCCAGTAGCCGAACTGGTGGGCGGAGCGGTATCATTTTCCAGGAACTCACCCAAGTAAAAGTGGTACTCCCCCACTGGTTCGACGATGCGGGGCGCTTGGGTATGGGAGGGCTAATTATCGCGCCGTATGAATGGCCTGACCCCCCACTATTGAAGGGGAAGCATGGGGTGAATTATGGTGCCAAGAAGGATGGAGCACATGATGGGACGGAGCAGGATGAAGTAAAGAAATCGTTGTATGCCACAGCTGTGATGTACACCACTGCCGACGGCTCTTCTCCACCCATTCAACCCCTTTCGCCTGGTGGCGTGGACACGAACACCAACACGCACATCAGTAATGTATGGGGCGGCCGCCGCATCTTGCTCAGCCGTACCCTTCGACTGTTCGCGGGTCGGAGAGACGCCGTCGAGGTGGGTATTCGTCGGTGTGGAGGCGAGATTGCACGATACGCCGGAGATGACGAGGAAGATGAGGAAGACCCTGACGAGGAGGTTCAAGAACAAAAGGAGTGAGAGATGGATAGGAAAGAGGCGGATGCACTGAAGGAATGCGATATACTTGTTACGAGGTGGCGGAGTGGGAGGCCTTACGTTCGCGTAAGTTCTTCTGTTCAGTTGTTTCGAAAAATAGGGAATATTGACTTTGAATTGGATTGCCAGGCTTTCCGGAATGGTAAGACGATTGGAACCCTTGCCTGGGTATTCCACGTCCAGTCTACTGGTATCCTTTCTCGACCACTGGACCAACTCTTACATTATCCCGTGCCGAAAAAGCCCATCGAGAATTTTTCCCTACATGTACGCAGCTCTTTTTCCAATTTGTTACCTCCCCCAATATATGGACTGTGATGCTAACGACTTCACAGGAAATCACGGTAACGAATTATACAGGCGAAGCCCGGGAGTACCTCAAGAAACTCATTACCGCCATGGGCGCCACATTCACCCCAAGTATGACGGGAAAAAATACAGTTCTCATAGCCGCTTTGTACGTGCCCTTTCCCCTTCTCTTTCCCGTTCCCTCTTTTTCCCATTTTTTTCTTGCTTCCCCTTCTTCCTTCCAATCACTAACCCAGTCCGCTACTCAGCCTCACGGGAACAAAAGCAACCAAAGCCCTCTCCTGGTCTATCCCAGTAGTGAATCATACCTGGCTCGAAGATTGCTTTGTCCAATGGCGCAACCTCACAGTTGGGGTGGAGAAATACATCGTCTTCCCCCCTGGCGTGGATTTCAGCACGCTCCTTGGGGAGAGGGGTGTGGGTGTGGGACGGGGGATCGAGGAAGAGGTGAAGGAGATGGGTGACGATGATGAAGAGTGGGGAGAGGCGGTGCAAGAGGTGGAAGGACCGAGGGGTACGGACGCCAGCATGAGGGTGGTCCAGGGCCTGGTTGATGGGGAGAGGGAGGAGCACTCCGGGATGGACGTGGACGGTCGTTCTCCTGGCGAATTTTGGACGAAGATGAAAATGAAGAGGAGGAGATGCGCCGGCCTGTGGTCAAGTCCAACCTCAACGACGCTTTATCTTCCGGGAAAAAAGTACCTGCTCCTTCATCGTCATCAAGACCTTCCTCCCCAACTGTCAAACCCACTACATGGAAGAGTCCGGCGAACCTCTTCCTTGTTGCTATTCCTTCGAAAATGCCGACGAAGATTAAGGCCCAGGCGAAGGAGCTGGAGCTGGAGCTTTCTCCCCTTGTCGCCAGTTGCGTCGTCCCCTGACAAGTCGCCTCTGACGTCTGCGCCGGCTTCGCCTGTCACGCCCGCACAAGTCAAGTCAGCGGAAGAGGAGGTACTAGCCAAGTCGAATTCAGGCCCCACATTCAAGAAGAAGACGTCCACGCGAACACACGAGGAAAAGTAGGAAGTGTACATGCTGTTCCAACGCATTTTCTTCCCGTGGCCATGGAAAAAGGTGCCTTGCCCTTGGTGCGTGTGGTTCGCGTGGTGATGGGCCTATTCGTAGAGCGCTGCGATGGAGTCGTCGTATGAAGTGACCATGCTAGGTCCAGGAAGGGTATGCGCTAATCCCCCTTCAGTAGCCGAACTGGGGTATTATGTGCAAACGGTTACAATCCTAGAACATAGCAGCCACCCGTTGGTCATCCAGCTCCTGCAAATGCATCTGCGCGTTCGGATGCTGAGTCGGAATAGTCGAGTATTGCCGTCTCTCTTATCTGCCAGTCAGACGGCGCTCATGATTGTACTTGCGTAGAATCTCGCGCTCTCCTTGAGTTATCGCCTTGTCAAACATTAGGATGACCATGAAACTGAAAGTACATACGTATATATACATTATCTCATAAACCGATATCCATTTGATTTTAGTCAAAGGGCATTCATCTGTGCTAGTCTTTCACCGTGAAAATTCATTATAAAGTTGGTAAAGTTATCAGGAATTGAACCCAGGGCTTCAGGAAGCAGGCACACCGCTATACCAAGAAGACAGCCCGTCGCTACGTCAAGCTCAAGGCTTATAAGTCGACATTCACGGCGCCGTAATGAAAAGACTCGACTTTACGAACAAGCCCAGCACCACGGTACCACCACCCGCACCAAGGACATAACCAACACCACGCATATAGCAGTCAAGGCATCTATTCCCACGACCATCAGGAGAAAACGCACTGGAACACCATGGTCACTTCGCACCACCAGTAACAAATGATGTGGCGTGGGTCTTGGTTTCGGCTTGTACGACGCACCCGCCTCTGGCTTTGGCGCAACGGCAGGGGTGACCTCTACCTCGTCTTCCTCCTCCTGCTCTCCTTCGTGTGTTCGCGTGGACGTCTTCCTCTTGTATGTGGGTCCTGACTTCGACTTGGTAGGTATCGCTTCCTCTTCCTTTTCCGTCGACTTGACTTTTGCGGCTCTTATAGGCGAAGCCGGCGCAGACTTCACAGGCGACTTGTCAGGGGACGACTTGACTGGTGACAAGGAGCAAGCTCGCGCTCCAGCTCCTTCGTCTTGGCCTTGTTCTTCGTCGGCGTTTTCGAAGGAATAGCAACAGGGACGAGTTTCGCCGAGCCCTTGCTTGTAGTGGGTTTAGCAGTCGAGGAGGAAGGGTTCGATGATGATATAGTGGCGGGGACTATCTTCCCTGACGATAACGCGCCGTTGAGCTTTGACTTGACCACAGGCCGGTGCCTATCCTCCTCCTCATCTTCGTCAAATCTAAAATCTTCGTCAGGAGCAAGACCATCCGCGTCCATCCCATAGTTTTCCTCCCTCTCCCCATCCGCCATATGCACGTCACCATCGACCTGGCTCTGGACCTCTCTCGGCCCTTCCGGCTTTGGCACCCCCTCCTCCCACTCATCACCATCGTCCCCCATCTCCTTCACTTCTTTCTCGGACCCCCCGTCCCACACCCACGCCCCTCACCCCAAGGAGCATGCTGAAATCCACACCAGGGGAAAGACAATGTTCGTTCTCCACTCCAACTTTGAGGTTGCGCCATTGGACGAAGCAGTAGTCAAGCCAGGTATAATTCGCTACTGGAATGGACCAGGAGAAGGCTTTGTTTGCGTTTGTTGCTGAGAGGCTGAGGGGCGGAATGGGTTAGTGATTGGAAAGAGCGAGAAAAGGAGAGGAGGAAGAGAAGATGGGAAGCAAGAGGAAGAACGGAAGATGGGAAGCAAGAGGAAGAACGGGAGATGTGAAGGGGAATGAGAAGAGGAAAGGGCACGTACAAAGCGGCTATAAGAACTGTATTTTTTCCCGTCATACTTGGGGTGAACGTGGCACCATGGCGGAGATGAGTTTCTTAAGGTACTCCCGGGCTTCGCCTGTATAGTTCGTTACCGTGATTTCCAGTGTGAAGTCGTTAGCATCACACTCCATATATTGGGGCACGTAAACAGTTGGAAAAGAGCTACGTACATGCAGGGAAAAGTTCTCGATGGGCTTTTTCGGTACGGGATAATGCAAGAGTTGGTCCAATGGTCGGGAGAGGATGCCGGTAGACTGGACGTGGAACACCCATGCAAGGGTTCCGATCGTCTTACCATTCCGGAAAGCCTGCCAATCCATCCAAAGTCACTACTCCTGTCTTCCGAAAGAAGCGAAGCCAAGGAAAACTTACGCGGACGTAAGGCCTGCCACTCCTCCACCTCGTAACAAGAATATCACATCCCTTCAGTGCATTCGCCTCTTTCCTATCCATCTCCCTCTTCTTTTGTTCTTGAACCTCCTCGTCAGGGTCTTCCTCATCTTCCTCGTCGTCTCCAGCGTATCGTACAATAGAGCCTCCACACCGACGGCGTCTTTCCGATCCGCAAACAGTCGAAGGGTATGGTTGATTTATTGTAGGGAGACATACTTCGGCTGCGCAGGCTACTACCCCGGAAAAAATCATAGCTGGGTCGGGTGAGTAAAATTGAGGTCTATACAATGCATTAGACAGTGGTAAGTATAGAATACAAGGACTCACTGTTGCATTTTCCCCAACACAAGCGACCGATCTACCCATTGGTCCTATAAACAAGTCAAACAACGCCCACTCCTTTCAAAACATGCAACACGAACTGTAACAACATGTACCCCAGCATCTACCTGCCCCGAGCCCTCAAACCGATGCGAGTTCGTGATAATGTGCGTGGCATCTTTCAGCGTCGATGCAGCTGAACTGTCAAGGACTGGTCGGAGGTCGTCCCGCCGGTCTTGTGGCAGTGATCTCTTTCAAATCTCTTGCAGAGTCCTGGTTAGACTGAGAGACACCCCTCGCCACCAAAAGGCAGTAGCAGTACAGAGTTCGAGAATTTGCGTCATGGTGCAACGATCCGAAGAAAGGTACTGAGTGGATAAATGCGACTCAATTTCGATTTTCATTTTTCCAGCCAGAGCCCATCTCAAGCCAAACCACGCAGAGCGATGAAGAGGCTGGATATAGAGAACGCAAGACCACGCCATGGCAGGAACATGGCAGAAGTCTGAAGAACTGAGCCTGTTTGTGCATGTTTCGCACCGCCTGCATTTCTCTCTCGTCATTCGCCGAAGCATAGGACGGTTTTCTGCCCATAAATTGTAGCGCGCCAAATTCCATTTCAACAAGGAGCCTGTCAACCTAATACAAAGTTAATACTCTCTATCTTCTGGAAGAAGTGAAGCCAGGGAAAACTTACGCGGACACGAAGGTGCAAGGACAGTGTGATGTGACATTCACGTGACGTACTCATCTCTCCTGATAAAACTCTTCTCAAAATACTTTGAGCACGTCAGCGCTTGCTGGGTGAAGTCTCTTTCCTGAAAGTCTACATACGGCTACCTTTGAGTTCCCTATTGGATTATTTTGCTCCTTCCAAACTGACAGTGGCAGGATTACTTACTCGTGATGACTGTGGGAATGTAGATCAATGACAGATACCTGATCATACCATGCGGCTGCCTTGCATCTTACCTCTTCCTTGCCTCTCGCTCTCATCTTCACGTTCAACGTTCAGCGCTCAGCCCTCGTCCACTGCACCAATGAAATTAACGAAGAAATTTAGAGATTTACAGAGACGTATTTTTGGCCCTAAACCACCCAAGGACTCAAATTCCAATCGGAGTTCTATCGACACTGCACCTGGCGCTCACGATCCTGGACCAGGAAACGATGCAGGGACTACAGAGCCGACAGCTTCAGGTAAGTTTATTGGGCCCATCTTCGTGTTATTGACAATGGCTCGACCTTTTCTCCAGGCGTCAATGCTACCATGAAACAGAATATGGGACGAGTCAATCTCAATCCTGCCCCCTGTGAAGGTGCGTATCCCATTATTTCAGCTTCGTGGATTATGCAAGTCTGATCCATATCCAAGATGACACGCCGAAGATTCCAGGCCCTTCAGATTCCGGCGTGGCTCCATCTGTACACGACGCTGGAACAGGTGAGTAAAGCCAGCCCCAGTAGATTTTTCACCTTTCCTGAGGCGGTCTCAGCGGATCGAGTCAAAGACGCACTCGTAGTTGCTTGGACCGGCATGGAGATGTTGCTCAAGAAGGTCGAGGGTTGTCTCGACGGAACTCTGGCGAAGGCGCCTGTTGCCGCTATCAACGCCCTCATTGACATAAAAAATGTATGTTGTCAGTCTCAGAGCGCTGTATCCTTACTGAATACCTGCATCAGGCGGTTGGAGACAACAAGGGCGCTACCGAAGAACTTCTCATTCAAACCACTGAAAGACTGCTCGTTGTCGGTCAGGTCGTGAACCAAGATGTCGCCAACTCTGGAAAGTCACGCATGACGACCTTCGCCGAGTAAGTCATTCCCACTCCAAAATTGGATATGAACACCAATGCGCTTGCAGCACTCTTCGCAACGAAATCCACAAGTTGAAGAAAATGTCGGAGAAAGGGACATTTAGACGGGTATTGGAGAACGAAGCAGACAAGGATGCCATCAGTGCGAGCTTGAAACACATTGACGAGGCTACGAAGACTTTCCAGGTCGACGCTATTGTCCTCACAGGTTACAAAGTTACTCATCCGTCTCATCTAGCTTTACCTCGCATGGACCACCGAGATAAAGGTGGATGATATACACTCCGAAATCAAGGTAGACACCAAATTCTTCAACTAGGACAAGCACTAATCGTGCTTCAGCTCACGAAACTTGACCCTCTTCTCGCTCGTAAGGCGATCTACGACGCTGACTTGGGTGACGGGGCGACAGTGACCCGTGAAGCATGCACCGCAGGGACTCGCGAGGAGATTCTAAATAACATAATCGCATGGGCTAACGACATCTCAGCGGACAGCTCGCCTGTCTTCTGGCTGACAGGCCAAGCTGGCTCTGGCAAGACGACTATCGCTTATACCGTTACCAAACACTTCGATGAGCTTAAGGAGACAGAAGATACTAGACGGCACACCGTTTTGGGCGGCAACTTTCTCTGCTCCGGCCAATTTAACGAGACCAGGCGACAGATTTATATTATTCCCACCCTTGTATACCAGCTTGCTCGGAAGTCGAGACCGTACGCCCACGCCTTGCGTGAAGCAGACAAGTTCGACTCGGTCGACAAGTTGGCCAAGCAAATGGAGGACCTGCTTGTTGGCCCATGGCAGCGGTCCCAATCCCGATGTGATGTGGAGCCCCCACCTTACCTCATTGTTGTTGACGCGTTGGACGAGATCGAGGACGATGGAGGGTCTGCGTTTCTTCAAAGCTTACTCAAGACAATCAACGAACGTAGGCTGCGAGGCCTCAAGGTTCTTGTCACGAGCCGACCAGATCCTCGGGTCGTCAAACTCTGCGAAACTTTCTTGTCCAAGGCGGTCTGCCGCCTGCAAGACGTGCCGATTGAGCGTGTAGGACCAGATATCACCCAGTACCTGCAGAGCAAGCTTCCTGACTTCACAGGCAAGCCGGAGCTGAAGACTATGGAACAGCTGGCGGGCGGTCTTTTTATTTCCGCCGCAACCATCGTAAGGTATTTGACACCACGTAAAGATATAACAGAACCTGAACAACGTGACCTACTGAACACGCTGCATGAACAACAATCGTCTTCACCGAGCGATGCATTGCTCATTGACAAGCTCTACCAACAAATCATGCGTGACGCCTTTTCCAAGCTTGACGTCAAACTCTTCAACCGTCGCCTGCGTATTCTCCATACCTTCCTCTGTACAATCGAACGCACGCCAGCGTCTCTTGCTGCTGCCCTCCTCTCTGAATCTCATGGAACTGTGCTCGCCGTCTTGAACGGACTTCATGCAGTGCTCTATCTCAAAGACGGCCAGGTCCTTTGGTACCACACATCATTTCCTGACTTCATCTTCAGTCAGACTCGTTCAACGTTTAAACTCGACGGCCGGGAGATATCCGTGTCATGTAGTCAGGCCCAACACCATGCCTTTCTCACGAAATGTTGCTTTGAGTGTATGAAGGAGTCATTACGATTCAATATTGGTAACATAACATCATCGTTTTTACTCGACGCCGAGGATCCGGAGCTGACGCAGCGGATTGATACCAATATCAAACCGTTCTTGAGGTATGCGTCTCGGCACTGGGCTCAGCATTTGACCCAAACCGATCAGGAGAATGGGGAGGATCTCGGTGACTATATCACTGAGTTCCTTGATATTCGCATTCTCTTTTGGATTGAGGCTATGAACCTACTTGGATCCAGTGGCCAGTGTACCAGAATGCTTCAGCATGTGCGTGAGTGGGTTCTGAAGGTGAGAATATTGTCACCTGAGATACACTACTTCTAAAACTGGTAGTCAGAATATGAACAGGAACAAGCTTGCCACCAACATTGCTGAAGCAGCCAATTTTGCCACCTACTTTGTGGCAAATCCACCAGCTTTGTCTACACCACACTTGTATATCTCAGCATTGGCATCCTGGTCAACAGGATCCACTATGTCTCAACAGTGGAGAGAAAAGTTCCATGGCATCCCATCCTTCACTCATAGGAAGGCTAGTGATGTGCCACTGATCTCAATACAAACACACACACACATTTTATCTGTTGCCTTCTCCACTGATGGCACCTGCATTGTCTCTGGCTCAAGAGACAATTCTGTGCAGGTATGGGATGCATCGACTGGGGCTGAGCTGAAGGTGCTTGAGGGCCACATGGGCAGTGTCTTGTCCATTGCCTTCTCCACTGATGGCACCCGCATTGTCTCTGGCTCAGATGACAAATCTGTGCGGGTGTGGGATGTGTTGACTGGGGCTGAGCTGAAGGTGCTTGAGGGCCACATGGGTAGTGTCTTGTCCGTTGCCTTCTCCACTGATGGTACCCGCATTGTCTCTGGCTCATCTGACAAATGTGTGCGGGTGTGGGATGCATCAACTGGGGCTGAGCTAAAGGTGCTTAAGGGCCACATGGATTGCGTCAGGTCTGTTGCTTTCTCCACTGATGGCACCCACATTGTCTCTGGTTCACAAGACAAATCTGTGCGGGTGTGGGATGCATCAACTGGGGCTGAGCTGAAGGTGCTTGAGGGCCACACACATATTGCTGCCATCTCCACTTATGGCACCCACATCGCTGTCTCTGGCTCAGAAGACAATTCTGTGCAGGTGTGGGATGCATCAACTGGGGCTGAGCTGAAGGTGCTTGAGGGTCACACATTCATTGTCAGGTCTGTTGCCTTCTCCACTGATGGCACCCGCATTGTCTCTGGCTCAAGAGATGATTCTGTGCGGGTGTGGGACACATCAACTGGGGCTGAACTAAAGGTACTTGAGGGCCACACACATTCCATCAGCTCCATTGCCTTCTCCACTGATGGCACCCGCATTGTCTCTGGCTCAGGAGACAAATCTGTGCGGGTGTGGGATGTGTCAACTGGGGCTGAGCTGAAGGTGCTTGAGGGCCACACAGGTAGTGTCTGGTCCGTTGCCTTCTCCACTGATGGTACCCGCATTGTCTCTGGCTCGTCTGACAGATTCTGCTGGGTGTGGGATGCATCAACTGGGGCTGAACTAAAGGTGCTTAAAGGCCACATGGGTGCCATCAGCTCTGTTGCTTTCTCCACTGATGGCACCCGCATTGTCTCTGGTTCAGGAGACACTTCTGTGCGGGTGTGGGATGCGTCGACTGGGGCTGAGCTGAAGGTGCTTGAGGGCCACACAGGTAGTGTCTGGTCTGTTGCCTTCTCCACTGATGGTACCCATATTGTCTCTGGCTCAGTCGACCATTCTGTGGGTGTGGGATGCATCAACTGGGGCTGAACTAAAGGTACTTAAAGGCCACATGGGTGCCATCAGCTCCATCGCTTTCTCCACTGATGGCACCCGCATTGTCTCTGGTTCAGGAGACACTTCTGTGCGGGTGTGGGATGCGTCGACTGGGGCTGAGCTGAAGGTGCTTGAGGGCCACACAGGTAGTGTCTGGTCTGTTGCCTTCTCCACTGATGGTACCCATATTGTCTCTGGCTCAGAAGACTATTCTGTGCGGTTGTGGGATGCATTGACTGGGGCTGAGCTGAAGGTGCTTGAGGGACATACAGATTATGTTTGGTCTGTTGCCTTCTCCACTGATGGCACCTGCATTGTCTCTGGCTCAGCAGACTATTCTGTGCGAGTGTGGGATGCATCAACTGGGGCTGAGCTGAATGTGCTCAAGGGCCACACACATTACGTCTATTCTGTTGCCTTCTCCACTGATGGCACCCGCATTGTCTCTGGCTCAGCAGACAATTCTGTGCGAGTGTGGGATGCATCAACTTGGGCTCAGATGCCAAATATTAATATTTGCACAAATTCACTCAATTCCATCACCTCTCCTGCTGATAACACCTGTATCACTTCAGATGATGAATCTGCACAATTGTCCATTGTAGGTTATCCTTACCCTGCTTGGACCACTGATGGAAAACACTGGATTTGTTCTGCACTTGGTGGATATCGGCTCATGTGGGTGCCAGAGATGGCTTATCCATACAGCATCCTTGTAATTTCCCGCAAAGGGTCTGCCATTGTCAACTTCCAAGGTTCCAAGATTGGCCATGATTGGGCTGACTGTTACACACCCACCTAGACATGGTAGTTTATTCATGTCCTGTGCTTCTGTCATACCAACTTTTATATCCAAATATGCAGATCTTAGGAATCCTATAACAGATCAATTTTCACTACTATCCTCATGTCTATGTAGCCAATTACTCATTGTTTTTATCACTTGAACCACCTGCATTCCCCACATGTCTCATCTCCCTGCTCCACTTGTCAACAAGATATGGGCCAGCACAACCTCAGTACAGAATTTTCAACACACATCATTGTGTTTTTATGAGTCCCCTAAAAGGCCTTTTCTTTAGAAAACAGTGGGGTAAGCAAATGATTAGTACCTGTTAAAAAAGGAATCACTATTATTTAATCAGTTCGCTACCCTGCAGTTTTCAAAAGAAAAGGCCAATTTTTTGACAGTGGTCTGTGGACAAAACACACTTTTTTTTTCTTCCTCTATATTTTTTGTGAAATAAAGCTGGTGATTGTCAAATATTGTCAAAGATTGCTAAAGATTGTCAAAGATTGTTCGATCTCAGAAATATGTGAAGGAAGAAAGCCAAATTTTGTAGACAATCTTCAACAATCTTTTGATTATAGTTCAGCTTTGGCTCCATTTATAACCTGAGATCTTTGGCAATCTTGCATTTTGTAGGTCTGTATGTTTGGTACACAAGCAAAATTGAGACTGAATAATCTTATAAAATCCCCTATAATCTTCCAGATTCTCAGCTTTCCCTCAATCTCAGAATTAAGGGATCTCCAACAATCTTCAACAATTGTTAGGAACCAAGATGATGTCATGTTTGTGTCCAAAGGGACTGGATTTTGGTCCTCGAGGGTGGAAAAATACCATATCACCATTGTTCCAAAGTGAGTTTTTATCTGTTTCACCTGTTGTTGGGCTTAAAAGAAACACCCAGTACAAGGAAATCACCACCTCCATTTTCAAAAGACCATGTTTTGTTGTTCTTGCTGGATGTTAATTTTTATGCCTGAGTGAGGAGCATTTCACTTAGCAGTGAGTTTTCATCTGTTTCTCCTGTTCTCAGGCTTGAAAGAAATGCCCAGTATGAACAAATTTCCATTTCCATTTGCGAAAGACCATGTTTTGTTGTTCTGGCTGTATGTTAAATTTTTATGCCCAGGGGGAGCATTTCACTTAGCAGTGAGTTTTCATCTGTTTCACCTGTTCCTGGACTTAAAAAAACACCCAGTATGAAAGAATTACTATGAAAGACCATGTTTTGTCATTCTGGTTGTATGTTAAATTTTTATGCCCAGGGGGAGCATTTCACTTAGACATGAGTTATCTGTTTCACCTGTTCTTGGGCTTAAAAGAAATGCCCAGTATGAAAGAATCACCATCTGTGACAGACTGTGTTTTGTTGTTCTGGCTGTATGCTCCATTATCAGCATTTCATGATCGTTTCAGTGTTTCTTCTCCAATGCCAAAAGTGGTTGCGAATGTTGATGCTGGCCTGTGGGGAGCCATTCATGATCAAGACTTGGCACAGACATTTTACATGACCATTCCCCTTTCTCTCTACAGCATGTATCAGCTGTTTGTCTCCTGCTTTTTTGACAAGTCACCTTGCCATTCCTCCACCATTTGTGATTTGTTCTCCCCTGATTTTCCCAATTTCATTGCTCAAATGTCTGGGATGTTGGAGTTGACCTTCAAATTGTTCCCAAGGTATCCTGTAATGGAGAACATTGATCGCACTTCTGAAGGCAGGGTCTGCATATTTAGCACTTTCCGCATATGTGGCCCAGCTGTGAAAATCATTGATGAGCTGGAAGAATTGCAGAAGGAAGTGTTTCTTACCAACATTGCAAGTGGAAATATGAGGAGGCATATACAGTCATGCACGTGCTAATGTTACACTGAATTCGTAGACATGAAATAGCAAGACAAGGTGAACATATTTTTGAACGAAACAAAGACAACATGATAAATAGGTATGCTATGTACAATCTGCAATTTATTTGAGGTAAAACAGAGAGGAATTGCGTACACAGTGAAACAAATGGCGGAGAGGCGACCCGAATAGCAATTATGGGCCAATGTTACACATGCCGTGATTGTCGATAAGATCAGCTGATGGGGAGAGATTTACTCATCGTCATCGTTGCTCGCACTGCCCTCACTCCCCGCTTCATCACCGTCACTGCCAGCGTCATCCTCAGCTTCACTGGCATCTAAAACACCAATCCCACCATCCAAAAAGTCCTTCAACTTGGGCCTAGGAATCGCTTTCGGAAGGGGTGTTGATTTTGGCTTTGGTTCAGTAAATTTTTTCTTCTTCTTGACTGCTGCAGCCTTCCTCTTGTCCCAAGCCGCTTTGGTTTGCGTGTTGTTGGCCTTGATAGCATCCCATTCGTCCTTTCACTCCTGATCTACCACAGCCCACACTTCCACCGCTGCATCATAGGCAACCCGTCCTTCCTTCCGTGCCTCCTTTTGCTTCAAAACCTCATGCACCTCCTTCTCCTTGGCCTGCACGAGCTCATAGAAATTGTCGCCACTCAAAAGCTTGGGGAGCCCATCGCCAACAAGCTTGATACCCTTTTTCTTCCCCTGCTTTTCTTCCCTTGCCTCTAGCACTTTCTGAAGCCTCTCAGTATATGCCTCATTCAGAATGTTGGAGGCCTGGAGCTCGAAGGCATGTACCTCTGCACGAGCGTTCCGACTCTCGGCCTCACAAAGTGCTGCAAGGAGGAGGAGCTCGTTTGATGTTGTGGGTTGGATAGTCAATGCGGCAGCTGTGGTGTTTGGGATGGCGGTAACCTAGGCCCTCGTGTGAGTGGTGGTTTTGGGCATAGGATCGGAAGATGCTGTAGTCGTATGGGTGGTGAGATATGCAAGGTTGGTCTTCTTGAGGGCGGCAACAGTGTCCTGGAGGATCTCAAGATGAGTGGGTTTTGTTGATTGAGTGGGGGGTGTGGTTGTTGATTGTGTGGGGTGTGTGGTTGTTGATTGCATTGGGGGTGTGGCTGTTGATTGTGTGGGGGTTGATGTTGGTGGACTTGATGTGTGGTCAGGTGAATGTGGGATGGTTGTGCATGCAGCTGAGCGCATTGTACGTGTGATGGTTGGTGTTGGGATGGGGTTGGTTGATTGTGTATGGTGAGTGGTTGGATTTGATGTTGACGTGGACGGCCCGGGTGCATCCGCTCTCACGATACTTTCCTGCTCTTCGGCAGGGTGGGACTCTGATTCTTCTGGGTCTTCAGAATCTGATTCAGCCTCCTCTAGATCTCGAAGCCTGTGCAACATGTCCACAAAAATCTTTGCTGCATCGGAAGTTTCGACAGGCAGGTTTGCCTCAAGGGAGGTTTCCTTACTTGGAGCAAGCATGTCTGAAGTGATGACATCAGGATTGAAGGGATGGGTGCCAGTCTTGCGAAAGGCAGTTTTGATATTTCTGGGGGTGAGTGCCTGTACGTATGCATTTGTGATGACACTGAGAAAATTTGATTTGGTGATAGCTGTGCTGGTATCCCGCAATAGTTTGTCACACTCCTTGCTAAGAAGAAGCTTGAGAATTGCAAATATTACAACATCGAGACCTTGGTAAATATGGGTGCCATGTGCTGGGTAACAGAGAACAATGATTTGATGGAGGCGCGCGAGTAAAAGGAAGGTGACGGTGTAATGTGAGTTGTGGCCATCAACAACAAGTAAGCGGTGCTCCCCATTTGCCTTCACATGTGTTTGTTCTTTGAAAATCTTCATCCAGGCTGCACCGATTTCGCCATCTGTCCAGCCTTTCTGCTGGTAGCCAATCCTAATCTTGGATTAGCAATGGCTACATGGATAAGACCTCGAGTTACATATGATGCATTCAACAGATTATTTTCTCCCCATTTGACCTGATATGCATTCCCCTTGAAGATGGCGGCAGGAGGTGTGGTTGTTCCATCAGCGCAGATTGTAACTATAACAGTAATATTGTCTCGAGTTCCAGCACGCTGTTGAGAAGGAGCAGCCTTTTTACAGGCGCCGAAGATGTACTCGCGTTCACCACCTCCCTGGGCTTGTATCTCCACCTCATCAGATCCATAAATGTTGTGTGGCTTGATGTTGTATTTCTTGATGGTTTCACCCAGTAAGTTCCACCAGGCTTTGTTTGTGTGAGGGTTGGTGGCATGCCCACACTTGTCCTCAAGAGGGCGAGAGCGGGCGATCTTGATCTTCTCTGTGTTCCGTTGGGCAAAGCAGTAAGTCCAGTTCTGACCAACACCTGTCAGTGGGAACTTGTTGCCAAGACGCGCTTTACAGATGCTGTGAACATGTTCCTTGAGCTGCGCATGACTGAGAGGGAAGCCTTGATCAGCTATTTCAGCAATGAAGGCAATCACAATGTCTTCTTCACCATCACCAAGCCATCTTCAGTCCACATTGGCCTGCTGACGAGTCTTGCCACCTCCTACTAAATGTTTTAGCATCATATGGCAGAGTTTAACATGGTTGCCTGTCTTGACAAAGCATGTATCTTGTAATTCAATGCAAATGTAGTGAAGACCCCAGCAGGGGCTTGATTTGGAACTTTTCCGTGTCTGTTCTAAGCGGTAGGCAGAAATGGCCTGGAGCATCCACGCATCGTGGAGTCGCTTGGCAGCAAGATGTTTTGTGAGGTCAGATTTCGCTTGACCAGCCATGGAGAATGTCTGGGAGGGCGTTGGAGAAATTTCTAAGTTGTTGGGCAGTGTATATGAGTCCGTTGAATGAGCCTCATTGCAGCTGCTAGGCAAATCTCATGAGAGCAATCTACTGTGCTAAACTCTTGCAGGCCTTCTGAAACTTGTTCCAGGCATTGAGGTATGTTCCATCTACATGAATAATGAGAGTTTGGACATGAAAAACATGTTCTTTTTGCATAGTCAATCAAATAGAGTTCAAAACATCGAAATTGGCACATCACATTGATAGATCAAGCAAATTTAATGAGTACTGAGGGTCTTTTCGTATGCACAAACTTGATAACCTATTTTACATTACATAGAACTATTGATTGCAAGAAAAATCAGGTCAATAGCTGCATCTATTCACACAGGAGAGCGCAAAAACTGTCAAAGTGTAACATTGAGTGATTAGGTAACATTAGCCAGTGGATGACTGTAGGTGTTGCAGTGAAAAATGATGAAAAAGCCATAACAGAGACCTGTAAGCATTTTTTTCAACTCATCTTTCACTATTGGATCATGAACACTGAAGTGCTGCCTTCTACACAGCCCCCCTCTCCCCCATCCCATTCACAGTTTGGTACATCCCAAATTTCTTGGGAAACCTCTTGATGACTATGCTCTTTGCTGTTACAGATCCATCACTTGTCCTCATGTGTGCAAGCTTTACATTGGTATTTTACAATGCTGTGTTGACTCTTGAGGATCACTAAGACATTGTTGTCAATAGTGTCAAGAATGGAGCAATCCCTAATGTCTATGATCTTGACTATTGCAGACCATTTTCAGAGGTTTGAAACCCATTTTCCTTTTTATGTTCAACTTGATATTGACACACATTGGACAGGCTCAAATCAAGCCATGCAGAAGAGCTCAAGTCAATACGATAAGGGACAGAGGGATGGTTGAAGTAGTGTTGCCGCAGCTTCGGCTTTTAGCTGGTTCAAGCCACAGCCGAGCTGAGCCGAGCTGATTGATCTGGCTTGGCTACTGCTTGAGCCAGCTAGAGCTGGGATTTTCAACCTCATCAACCACACATGCTAGCTCATTCGAAACAAATAAAATTAGCTTTTGTCTGTACATGTTATTCAACTAGTAATAGAATATACTTTAAATGAACCTAAGATCATAGAAAATAGCTAAGAATTGCCTGAGACGGTGTGACAGAGTCACACACCCCAAAACAGAAAATGTAATATATCTCTGGAACACGGACACGAGAACCTCTCATCTCTTTGGGACCTTCAAACTACACTAGAATATGTTTTAAACAAGACATAGATCATAGGAAACGATGGAAATTTGACTGA